GACGCAATTCCCCCTCCACCCATCTAGCGTGGAATCCCTGGCTCTGAGCGGCCGTTGAGAGAATCTTTCGCGGGCATCTGCGAGGGAGACTACGGGGGAGATCTCTTTCGCCCTGGCCCCAGTGCCTGAAGCGTTATGACTTCCCCTGATGTGGGTTGGGATGGTGGGGCGGTGGTGATTCCTTCCTAGAACGTTCTCCTCGACAGCGCAGATCGACGAATGCAGCAGATCCGTGCCGTGACGACTCGCGCGCGTCTTCCGACGCCGCGCGAGCCCCTCAACCTCACACGATCGCGGCTTACCGACAGCGCGGATCGCCCGACGCCAGCCGGCTCTGAGCCACCGGCGGTGTCCAGCCCTGAGCGCCCTCTGTCGGGGTCGCCGCCGCAGCGGCGCGGCGACGAGGCCGAACCGAGCGCTCTGGCGCGAGGCGCGGCCGCCCTCGCCCTCTGTCGCGCCGCCGCCCTGGAGAAGAGCTGCGCTCCGGGGCAGGACTGCGTCGAGGGAGGGGCGAGAGCGGACCGCCGGCGAGGGGCAACGGCAGGGGGGGGGGGGGACTGGCACACGGGGGGGGATGCACATCGGCGCGGAATCGGCGACACATCGCCGATGGATCGGCGATAAGCCCCCGATCGCAAGTCCCCACGCTCCCGGGCGGGGTGGGGCTGTCGGGCCCCTATCCGCGAGGAGTGGACGATTGGGGGTCGGTGCGCTCCCTCCCGTGCCTGTCCCCGCTCGCCGCCCATCGTTGCCCCTGGGCATGCTTCAGTAGCCACCGGCGTCGTCGAAACGCGAATGCCGCCACACACGTGAAGCGAAGTTGAAATTACGCTGCCGAGGAACCCCACATACTTATATTATGGCTGGAGTGATGATAGCTGAAGTGAAACATGTGAGAATGATGTTGGTGGCCGTTGCCACCCCCAGCGCACCCCCTGTGGTGTCGAGGAAGTGCCACGCCTGCCACGCCTTGCGGGGCTGCAACGGATATGGGGACCACCCCCAGCGCACCCCGTGTGGTGTCGAGGAAGTGCCACGCCTGCCACGCTTTGCGAGGCCGCAACGGATAGGGAGACCACCCCCTGCGCACCCCCTGTGGTGTCGAGAATATGCCGCGCCTGCCATGCCCTGCGCCATGGCCCGCATAAACGCCCCGCTCGGGGACCATTCCCTGCGCACCCCCTACGAGGTCGAGAAAGTGCCACACCTGCCACGCCCTGCGCCATGGCCCGCATAGACGCCGCGCTCGGAGACCACCCCCTGCGCACCCCCTACGAGGTCGAGAAAGTGCCACGCCTGCCACGCCCTGCGCCATGGCCCGCATAGACGACCACCCCCTGCGCTCGGAGACCACCCCCTGCGCACCCCCTACGAGGTCGAGAAAGTGCCACACCTGCCACGCCCTGCGCCATGGCCCGCATAGACGCCGCGCTCGGAGACCACCCCCTGCGCACCCCCTACGAGGTCGAGAAAGTGCCACACCTGCCACGCCCTGCGCCATGGCCCGCATAGACGCCGCGCTCGGAGACCACCCCCTGCGCACCCCCTACGGGGTGAGGAAAGTGCCACACCTGCCACGCCCTGCGCCATGGCCCGCATAGACGCCGCGCTCGGAGACCACCCCCTGCGCACCCCCTACGAGGTCGAGGAAAGTGCCACACCTGCCACGCCCTGCGCCATGGCCCGCATAGACGCCGCGCTCGGAGACCACCCCCTGCGCACCCCCTACGAGGTCGAGAAAGTGCCACACCTGTCATGCCCTGCGCCATGGCCCGCGCACCCCCCTACGAGGTCGAGAAAGTGCCACACCTGCCACGCCCTGCGCCATGGCCCGCATAGACGCCGCGCTCGGAGACCACCCCCTGCGCACCCCCTACGAGGTCGAGGTCGAGATAGTGCCACACCTGCCACGCCCTGCGCCATGGCCCGCATAGACGCCGCGCTCGGAGACCACCCCCTGCGCACCCCCTACGGGGTGAGGACATTCCCACACCTGCCACGCCCTGCGCCATGGCCCGCATAGACGCCGCGCTCGTGGGTGAGGAGAGGAGAAGAGGGAAGATGGGAAGAAGGAGGTGAGTGAGTGAGTGAACGTCGCGGGTGGGACGCGGCAGGGAAGAAAACCAGAACCCCACGAACCATGTGGGGAAGAAAGCCATAACCCCACCAAGCATGTGGGGATAAACTCGCGGGCGCGGCGCAGGGGTGCTTCTCAGAAGACTTCCCCCCTCCCCCTTCCCCCCTCGACTTCACGCAAGAGCGACCCTGGGCAAGAGTGACCTCTGGTGTGCGGTTTTTTGGGGAGCCGCGGGGAAGTCGAACCCGAGCTCGCAAGACGCTGCCACCGTCTCGCGTGGAGGCACTTTGGGGCCGCCTGTGTGCCCGCACCACAAAGGTCACTCCGGCGATAGGTCACTCTTACGTCCTGTCGACCCCCCTTCTGCGCGTGGGGTGCTTCTCAGAGGAGGAGGAGGAGGAGGAGGAGGAGGAGGAGGAGGAGGAGGAGGAGGAGGAGGAGGAGGAGGAGGAGGAGGAAGCCTTCCCCCCTCCCCCCCTTCTGCGCGTGGCCGAGACGTGGCGCCCTCGCCCGAGGAGCGGCTGCCCCTGCGCTCGCGCGCCGATCCCCCGGGGCGCGCACGGCGCTCTGGCTCGGGGGCGCGAGGCGCGGCCGCCTCTGCGCCGCACCCGGGGTGGCCGGGGACACCGGGCGCTGACGGCAGCGGTCCCGGCCTGGGGCCGAGGGGGGACGAGCCCGGACCCCCTCGAGGCATGGCAAGATCACGATGGGAGGTTTTCCACTCCTCTCGGCCCCTGGGGGCCCTCATCGGGCGTCGGGGCCGTCAGGAAACGACCGAGGAAGAGCCAGTCCCGGGGCATGGGTCGAGGCATCCGGGGGTAGGCGTGAGGACAAGCCATGGCGTCGGCGGCGGTCTGGGAGCCCGGGGGAGTAGGAGATCGACCACATAATTGACTTACCCGAATTTTTGGTCCGTCGGATCTACAACAAGCGCGTCTGCTTTTGTTGTGGATGTGCGAAAGCTAGACGCAGTGCTCCGTAGACCCCCCAGGAATTTCATTTCTCAGGTACGTAGACTCTGCAGTCGGGCTCCCGCTCGGAATTGGCTCCTCGATGTCGGAGCTGCGCGCTCCTGAGCCAGGTGCGGCCTCTGGGCCACTCTGCCCACGTCGTTGCTGCACGTGGGGGCCCCCGAGCCACGGCCCCCCCCCCCTATCTGTCGTCGTGCAGGGCGCGCTCTCCAGGGCTGCCAGGGAGAGCCCCCGGTGGCCCCTGGGGCGGCTCCGGGGGAGGCCCCGGCGGGGACCGCGAGGCTCCCGAATACCGCCGGCCCGTGTCAGAAGGACGTACGGCAAGGGTGCAAGGGCCTCGGGAGACCGAGTCGACACTTCGCGGGCGGGGCGCGGCCAGCAGAAGCGGCCAAGGATGGATCGAGGAGGTAAGGATGCAAGGGTACCCTTGGGGAAGGTTGCGCATCCTAACTATTGCGGGTTGACTGCAGCCCCCGGATCGGGGGTCACCGCTAAGGGCACGTTTGCCAACACCCGGCAGCCGCTGCTGCCATGAAGCCAACAAAAAGACGGAGGGAGGGAGGGACACAAGAGGAATATGGGGTCACGCGGGAGACTCTGGACTAGTCCATCCCGATTCTCGTCGATAGATGGACTGCTGATGCCTGGTGAGGCAGAAAAAGAAACAGCGAGAGAGGAGAGAGCGCATTCCCAGTTCGCCTGCTATGCGAACATTCTCTCGCAGGGGGCCTTGACACTTGGACACTCCCCCTCCCGAACAAAAACCCGGACTCCTCCTCCGAGACGGGGGGAACTCCCTCCCCCCTTCTCTCCTCCTCCCCCTCCTCCCCCCCCTCCCCCCTCCTCCCTCCCTCGCAGCAGGCAGACGACGACGACGGCGACGACCGACGACGTCCTCGTCGTCAAAGGCGTGGGCAGCGTCGTGGCGGTCGTCGTCGTCGTAGCCGGCGCCGTCGTCGAGGTTGTCGTCGTCATCGTCGTCGTCGTCGTGGCCGTGGTCGTCGTCGTGATCGTCGTCGGTCGTCAGTCGTCGGTCGTCGGTCGTCGGTCGTCGGTCGTCGGTCGTCGGTCGTCGTCGTCGTCGCCGTCGTCGTCGTCGTCGTCGTCGTCGTCGTCGTCGTCGTCGTCGTCGTCGTCCTCGTCGTCGTCGTAGTCGTCGTCGTCGCCGTCGTCGTCGTCGTCGTCGTCGTCGTCGTCGTCGTCGTCGTCGTCGTCGTCGTAGTCGTCGTCGTCGCAATGGTCGTAGTCGTGGTCGTCGTCGGTCGTCGGTCGTCGTCGTAGTCGTCGTCATCATCGTATTCGCGAGTTGGGGGGGGGGTCCGCACCCTCTCTGCCCCCCCTTGCGCCACGGTCAAGAGAGAGAGAGAGAGCAAGAACAATGTAAAGTACACCGTGCCGCCTCGGACACGTCAAACATGCCACCGCAACATCTCGCCAAATCGCCTCCGTCTATCTTGAGCACGTCCTGGGGCGGAGGCCCTACAGACAGTGAGCACTTGAGCAGGAATTGTATCTGGTGGGTGGAAAGACAGGCGCGATGTTTGTCGGGGGCGTGGCGGATCGGCTAGGATCTGGAGCTGGTGGACGGGTAGGGTCTGGATGTTGTGGGCTGGCAGGAGCCACTTGAGCTGGCAGGTGGTGGTTCACTGAGCTCGCTGTTAGAACATGAAGCTGAAACGATATCGGATACTGCTCGACAGCAGGGTGCAAGTGCGTGCTTGGGCATCGCGCTCGCAACGACCGCGACAACGACAACGAGCAACTAATGCAACGCGTCGACACCGGGTCAGCTCGAGGGCCTCTGCCTGGAACTCTCTCGTGCCAAGGTCCGAAAACGGCTCCAGGCGACGCCGAGTCGTCCATCCGCGGGACCCCCCAGTCCTCGATGAGAAGGGAGGAGGGAACACGGCGAGAGGAAGGTACGAGCCAAATCTGGTACGGATAACTCGGGG